GCGGTTGCGGTTGCGGTTGCGGTTGCGGATGTTTATTTATCTTTCCTCTCGCTGGACGTGGTGTTAGACGAACCATCGTCTGGCAACAGCGAGCCGGCGGAGTCTATGTGGAAGTATGCGCCAACGATTTTTTGTCCACAATGAAGTTCAACATGTCAACAGCCGTTACAAAATCGCGACGATATACAATTTCGATGAGCGCCTCTCTCTCTCTCTCTCTCTCTCTCTCTTCCTGTCTCTCTATCTCTCTCTTTCTCTTTCTCTCTCACGCTCTTTCTTTCACCGGATTATTATTCTATCTTTCCTCTTTCTTCTCGTTTCCTCTTCATTCTTCACCGTTTTTAAAGTACCCAGTTTGAAACGTGTAATACTATCTCCGGCGATAATAGCAATCTAATGGAAACGCGACATAATTCATATAAGTTAGTTTATTAATTGGTTCGCAGAGCGAGGCGTCGTCGTGTGGACGTCGTTTCGTCGTGCGTGGGGGGGGGTGTAGAGGAATACATGCTCCGTCTATTCGTACAGGTCCGTCGGTCGCAGGGGTTGTAGGATTGAAGATGCCTCGATATTGTCTTTTCGGAGATACAGTAAACACAGCTTCACGCATGGAGTCAAACGGACTCGGTGAGTAACCTCACTAGCGGAATGGATGGTTCGCTTGCATGCCAGAAGTTCCCCCAGAGTGGGCATAGCGAATCTACTCTGGGGCATTGCTTTGGATCTATACTTTTTGTCTATAGTCTATATGCATTTAATATGGTTAGGGGGTATCTCAGAACAGCTTTTTGTAATAAATTGTTATCAGTGATTCTGTGTTATGTATGTTCTGTATAATAAGGAGTGCGCCCTATAGCCTGTTGGGTGCAAAACTCATACTTCACTCCCTCCCTTCTCTCCCCTTGCCTCCCTTGTTCGTCGCTCAGCCTCCCTCTTCTTCTACTGCTCTCAACGATCTTTCCTGCGCCATTTCATTGGTCTGCCCCCCTCCCTCTCCCAGCAAGCTATATTATGCAGTTTTTTTCAGTCTGCACTGCACCCATGGAACGAGATGCTCGCGCATGCGCGATATCTCCCGAAAAGAATGATACTTTGCGAAAATTATGCTTGCAAAATGGAGAGAAGACATCCTAGCATAGATTTATATGATAACATTTTATCTGTAGACCTCTCTTAATAAATGGGATGAAGTCCCTAGCTGCATGTAAGGTGCCGGCTGTATATACCAGTCAGTACACAATCTGGCCACGTCTGCATGTTAGCGCATGCGCAATATCTCACCAAGAGAGTTATATTTTGTTATCAATACGCATTTAATATGGTTAGGGGGTATCTCAGCACAGATTTTTGTAGTAAATTGTTATCCGTGATCATGTGTTTATAAATTGGAGAGCGCCCTAGCCTGTTGGGTGCAAAACTCATACTTGACTCCCCTCGCCTCCCTTGTTCCTCGCTGAGCCTCCCTCTTCTTCTACCGCCCTCAATCTATCCTACCGCATTTCCACAGTCTCCCACCTCTCTCTCTCTCCCCCTCTCTCTCTCTCTCACTCTCGCTCCCTCTG